ACTAGTGATGTGTCAGTGGGTCCCACCCACTGCCACATCAGTGCTGTGTCTTGATTTTTTTTGCCTTTTCCACCTCATTAGAGGTGTGTTAGAGCCTCTAAATTAGAGGTCTCTAGCATTGCGACCTCTAATTAGAGGTACCACTAGTGATGTGTCAGTGGGTCCCATCCACTGCCACATCAGTGTTGTGTCTTGATTTTTTTTTTTTTAAACCTTTTTCACCTCATTAGAGGTGTGTTAGAGCCTCTAAATTAAAGATCTCTAGCATTGCCCTAAATATTTTGAAAACTTAGACTATTCCAGGAAAAAGTGAAGGACAAAATATGACTGCTACCTATTTGATGACACCTAAATTTTTAGTTGTAATATGATTCATATCTGATTAACATGTATAAATGGCCGTTAAATTGTCTGTCGACTCCAGCATACAAGTTTGTTTTTTGACTTATTTTAGTTTTTAATGATTTTTTTAAAATTTTTTTTTTACTTCTAGATTTGTCTCGACTAAAAGGTCTTGAAATATTTTTTAAAAAATCAATTTTGTTGTAAAAAAATTAACTAAAAACGGAAATAAACTGATTTTGTAGGCTTTTTTGACCCCAAAAAATGTACATTTGTTTTCTGTGAATTTTTTAAAAAGAATATTATTTTTTTATAAAAAAATTAGGGTCATCTAGTCAATAAATATCTAAAAGTAATAATAATAATAATAATATATTTTTTTTATAAAAAAATCACTAAAGATGAAAATAAATCAAACTAAATAATCCAAAAAACTCAACTCCGATGTTTGTGAATTTTCGCCCTCTAAACAATCCTATTATTCATCATCATGAAACTCTTTCAACTACCTATTAATATTTTCATAGTGTTTATTTTTCTTTCAGGATGACTGCATATTCTGAAAAACTATCCCAATATCCTAAAAATATAATATGTGTTGGGGATTCAAATTTAGGCGAATTAAATTATCTATAATATCTTTTGATAAGATACAAGATTACCGTATCAACACTTTTACAAAAACATTTAATTCAAAATGAACTACACAAAAATACATCCGATCCATGCTGAGTATACCAGTACCATGCTAGGTATATGAGAGGACCACCCTACACTTTTAAGGAGGGGTGGGCTAGCCACATGACTTGTCTAATATGGCAATAACTCCCTATTGTCAACGAGTGTGACAATGGCTTACCCACCAGAGAGCCACCATCCACCCAGCATGATATTTGCAGTTATTAATACCAACATTTAGACATTTATCACATTGGAAACACAAATTCTCATCAGTCAAATTTAACTGGTTAACTTTTTTTACCCCTTTTTCTTATTGACTTTTGCTCTTCACATCTGCTTGTAGTCTACCAGACCTAAGAGTGTGTTCACCCAGTGGAGAATTGAACATTGCATCTTTTTTACTATGATTCAAATTGTGACATCTTCAGTTTTTGTGTCCTATTCACACTATTAAATTAAGGCTATAATTCCAAGAATTTTTTACATAAAATATTTATAATGTAGTGTAACAACATTGCATATATTTTGGTAAAATATAAGCTTATGTGCATAGAAATTAAATATAAAATCAGATACAACCATCTCATAGAGGGTAGGGCCCACATATGTGGGACTCACCCCTTGTGAGAGGGTTGTGTCTCATTTTGTGTTTGATTTTTGTATTTTTAAAATTACTATATCCAAAATGAGTTCAGTTTTGTCAGCACATATACTTATAAAAAGTCAAATCAAACTGAATAGTAAGTTATTTAAGTTTAATTTGAAAATTTAATAAGTTTTAAAAATATATTCATCCTTAATTTGTATATTTTTTAAGTTGATTTTAAATAAGTTTCAATTAAGCCAAATTCGAGTGGTTAGATTTTTTTGATATAGGTCTTATCAAGCTAAGCTAAAAGATTTAATGAGTTTTAAATTAAATTCAAACTTGAATTGTCGAAAGCGTAATCAATTAACGGTTACAATTAAAAATAAAAGACCAAAGTGATTACTGAAAATTGGGTGAGGTTTTGAATCCAGGTTTGGGCATATATAGTGACACGACTCACGACCTATAAAGAGATCCATATAATTTGAATTACATTATCCTCAGGATAATGACAAGAATCTTGACAATCCCATCTCATTAAGAGATAGAGATGTAAGTGATTATATATCGTTATATACAATATATATACTATTTAGTGTGGTTTTAACCGAAAATATTTTTGTAAAAATCGGTCTAACTCTTTGCTATTAGAGAACGAATATATTGTGTGATTCATGTCGGTGATATCACTCCATCACACGAAGAGTTTGAGTTCACTAGAAGTACGTAATTCACCCGTATGATTTATGGATTTAGTTTAAGGTACAATTTAGCATAAACTAAATAAGTGTTCTTATTTGGGTTATATTACTTCTCTACTTTTTTGCATATCTTTCCATAAAAAATAAAAAAATATACTTATTTAGATCATTCCAAACAATACCTAAGTATACAAAAAGTATGCCCAAATTGTGAGAATATATATTATATATATGGTATATTAGAATTAGGTAATTTTAGGCAATTCCATTTTCATTGTATTTCCTTTTTCTGTCATAGATTAGGGCTATATAACTGATGCAGTCTTTGTAAACACACACAATTGAATATACATAATTTACTCAGCAATCTTACATGGTATCAGAGCTTTGCGATTCCTGACTTCGTGGTAGCTAGGGTTACGCACGAACTGGTCTACCTTGCTTGTGATTCATCGTGATTCATCTGATTGGTCGAGCTCTCTCTTCTCAACTTGTTTGATACACGATCGAACTACTTTGGTTTGATCTCTGGTTCTGATTCTAGTTCACGCTCGGGAGGCCTTCTCTGGTTTTAGTCTGTGACATCTATTCTCTCTAGTTTTGACTTGCGACTCTGGTTCGACTTTAGTCTGGGTCTAAGGTTGAGGGTTCTCGTTGACTTGTAACTTTGGGTCGTCACCATTGCTGTCTTGCACAACTGGTTTTCGTTACTTATTTGGTTCATTTCTCTCACCTCTGGTTCGTGATTCATCTGTCGCATGGTTGGTCAAAGCTTGTCACCTCTTTCTCTATCTCTCTTTCTCTGATGTGAAGATTTTTCTTCGGCCTCAGGTTCTTGTTCTGAATTGGTGTTCTTGGCTATAACAGTTCATTGATATTTGTGGGTTTTAGGGGGTTTTGATTATTATCTTGACTTCAACTGGTTATTATACATTTAGACCCAGCATTTGGTTATTACACTCTGGTTTTAGGGTTTATTCCGCTTAAACCCCTTATCTCTTTGGCTATTACAATGTTTCTAGTTTTGATGAGTGTGCCTTTTGCTGTCAGAAGGGGCTATTGAAAATATCATTGTCCCAAGAAGGAATGTCTGTCTGGTTCGTATGATTAGCAGTCTCGGACCCAGTTTTGCCATTCTTTTTTGAGTAATCTTTAGGCTTCCATCGGTTTTACTTCATCTGCTCCAACTTCTGATCCTGACTTGGCTTCCTTGAGTGCTTAAATTAGTCAACTTCAGCATACACTGTCTACCTCTCAGTCATCCCCGTTTGCCTCTATTGTTTCCTCTCTTCATTCAGGTTTGTTTGGGTCTTCTTCAGGTATTTCTTCATTTGTCTGGATTTTTGACTCTAGTGCCTTTCATCATATGACTCCTCATTTCCCCTTACTTCAAAATTGTACTTCTCATCCCTTTCCTATTACTGTCAATGCTACTAATGGGTTTGGTATGTCTGTTATATCTGTTGGGTTTGTCCTACCATCTGCTATATCTGTTGTCTCTATTCCATCTGCCTTTTATGTTCCTCAGTTATCTGTCAATTTATTATCTATCAGTCAGCTTGATATCTTTGGTTTTGATGTTATATTTTCTTTTTCTATCTGTTTTGTGCAGGATCGGATGTCTAAGCAGCAGATTGGGACTGGCCGTAGAATTAGAGACCTTTATGTGGTGAAAAGTTTACATCTGCCTATGATTACCTCTTCGATTGCCTTTTCCTCTTTTCAGTTAGATTTTCTGTCTAGTCCTTTCTATTTGTGGCATTCTAGATTAGGGCATTTGTCTATTGATCGCTTACAGTCTTTAGCTCAGTCAGGTATATTGGGTAAAGTTTCTTCTAGTCAATTTATCGTGTATCGGAGGTGTAAACTTACCAAAATAACAGCCTTACCTTTCCATAACAGTACTTCTATATCTGTTACACCGTTTTCTTTAGTTTATCCTGATGTCTGGGGCCCTTCTCCTATCCTCACCAAGAGGGGGTTCTGCATACTATGTGTCATTTGTTAATGATTGCACCCGTTACACTTGGGTTTATCTTGTGACTCATAAGTCCAATTTCTATCAGATATACAGTACCTTTCAGTCTATGATTACTACTCAGTTTGGGTTTACCGTTAAAGTGTTACGGTCTGACTTGTGTTATATATACAATATATATTCTCACACAAATCCATGTGGATTTAGTTTAAGTATACAAAGTACGTCCAAATCCATTATTTTCGCTAGGTATTTGCTTTGCCAAGTGTAATTTCTATAGGGATTTTTATCAATCAATTCATTTAGAATAATATTAGGAATCATGAAAAAAATATCATGAAATATTTCATAAAGAATTTTCATCATTTGATTAGTGTGTGGTGTTTTTTTGTATGTGTAATCTAATGGTGGAGAATCTTTCATGATCATTTTCATGATACTTTTTTCATGATACCTAACATTACTGGTTCATTTAATTAGACTTATTATTTACAGATCATATTGATAAATTTATTATTGTAAATTTATTAATAAAAAAAAAATTGAAACTTAATGGATAAATCTCAAAAATAGCACATATTAGCAACAAATTAAACACAAGTCAAGTTCAAAATATTATCTTCATTTTACAAACCTACCAACACAACATTTTGGACACTCGTTAATGAAAACAAATTTATTTTTACCTATCCCCACACTCTCCTATTTAATCCACATACATACAGCTATGCTCACACCCCCTCCCTCCAAAATTTCCAGTTTCTCACACACGCACACACTCTCTCTCTCTAGCTATCTCTATCTCTCAGTTTCCAATGTCGGCAAGAGGTAGTGGAAGAGTGAGTTCCAAACCAGACACTAATGAGAAGACGAAGACGAAGACGACGACAAGCACTCACAATCACAACTCAACTGACAGAGCTTCTGGTGAAAAGAGCAGATTCCCAACAACAAGTTGCAGATTCAGAGTACCAACACGATCAGAATTATCATCGCCTGTGAAATTCCTCAAGCGACTCGGAGACAAGGTTGTTGCAGCCATGAATTTCGTGTCCCGGAGGCAGAGGCAGAGAAGGAGGAGATCCTCTTCCAACGTTTCTTCGTCCTCCGGAAGATCCAATCCATCCATAGCTCCGCTTGATTCTCATCATAGAGCTGAAGCAATCAGCGACTGCATCGAGTTCATCAATTCCTCTTCTTCTTTGCAGAGATCCAATTCTGTTCCTACAAATCCTGTCTAACTTTCTCATCAAGTTCTTGCCTTGATGTTCTTGTTTTCCTTCTAATTAGTATTAGTGGCAGCAATTGGCAACCTTTTTTTTCACTCAAAAGCTTTGGTTATGTAAGAATTTATTCTTAATTAGGTTGTCATTGACTATATTTTGTTTGGTTTGTGAAAAACGGGTTGAACGTGATTCAGATAGATTGACTGGTATGAGCCCAAAATTATTATTGTGATCCATAAAGTTTGGGCCATTATATATTATTTTATATGTGGATATGTGATATGGAGGTGTAAGGCTTGTTTTAAGTTATTTGGGTTCCTTAATGGGAGGGCCCAGTAATTGTTTTATTTAGGCCCAGTGCCCTCTCCTATCCTTATTAGGGTTTACATATATCTATATATATGTAGATCAAAGGGTTGTCAGTCCCATTGAAAAGACAACAAAAAAGATTAGGAGAAGGAGGGGAAGAGCTGGTGCTAAGATTTTCTAATTGTGAATGCCAAGGAAGCAAAACTCAAGACAATAACGGAATCAAATAGTATGTATCTAAGATTATATTTTAGTAGTTACTTATATTCATATTGTTTTGATTTCTAGTATATAGATCTTAAAATCTTACAGTTTGCCTCAATTGAACATATTTGAATTTCTGGTATGTGTATATGTCTTTATGATGGAGAACTTGAACCAGCTCACTTTGGTATTTTTAGTGAGATCTCTTAGACATGAAGCTTTTAGATGAGATGGTAATTTAATAATTTTTGTGTTGGAATTTTATTGTTTATCTGACAATTCTAATACTTATACGGGTGTCTGTCTGCCATATATGAACGATGTGTTGTGAATATTAAACTTGTGAATGAGTTGATTGTTAACAATTCAATATTTTAGTCTTCACAATTTTTAACACCACTAAACATGTTAAGAATTCATAGCACCTAATCAAGAGAAGTAGTGAGTTACAAAATTTAAAAACAGCAAAAAAACAAATATAAATTTATCCTAAAATTATTACTATATTAACGATCGTTACAGTTCCACTAAGATCAAACACATTATACCAAAGATAATCGCTCACCATAACCACATATACATAGAAATTAAAGATGAGATTAAAGTGTGAAAATGCTTTAAAAAATATATATATATATCCTTACTTCAAATTGAATCTAAAATCAAGTAATTAGTGTCTAATTTTTATTAAGATTCACACTTCCCCAACAAAGTAACCATGGACAGAAGGGATTTATGATGTGTCAAGCTGTGATGAAAACACAGCAAGATCAGAGCAGAGAAAAACACGGGAGGGTAGGGCAAGCTAAGCTTGCCTGGCTGCCGGCTGAGGGGTAAATAGGTTGGTGATGAGTCCGTGTCATACAACTATTAGATATGTTACATGTTTCTCTTCACACAGTAGGCAATAATAATAAGGATTTGGCTTGTCCCCTTGAGGTCTTTAATTGAAAGGAATAAAACAGAAAATTTTTATTAGTAAGAATTTATTCAAATATGAACTAATTGATTTTTTTTTTTAAAATTTTCACCGATAAGAGTCTTTTATTTAATAATTTTTTTCGATCAAAGTCTTTTATTTAATGACTATTTCCAATCAAAATTTTTACCTGTATGGTCTTATTAAAAGTTCAACAAGAGACCAGCGATTCCCTCCCTAATAATAATAATAATGCACATGAAGAAACAGTGAAAGAAAGTGGCAGTGTGAGATAAGAAGTGTCGATGTAAATTCGTACGTATTAAAATTACTTTAAAACGGAACTACAAACTAACTGTGTATGTACTATCAACCCACCCCTGCAACTTTTTTATTTTTATTTTTATGATTGATTATGAAATTATGTATCTATGATTATAAAATTATTATTTTTATAAATATTTTATATATAAGAATTTATAATATCTATAATTGTTGTGAGATATTTTTTATATTTCCTATTGTTGACACTGTAAATAATAATATTATTATTGCAGGACACGTAACACTTTATTGATCAATCAGGAGTAAGTAAAAGTTACAAAGTTAGTGGTCTTGCATGGTGGAACATGGAAGACAAGGTGAAAGAAGTTAAAACACATGTGAAGAATATAATGGACAAATTGACTTAGTGGAAGACATGGAGGGATATGTGACATTGTGGGAATGAATGTGAAAGAGTGGGTGGTTTTAGGTGGTTATTGGGTAGCTATTGCTAGAAGTTTTTTCCCTATAAATAGCCATTGACGCTACATTTACACGACTTAGAACCAGATCTAGAAACCAATTTATTTACTTTATATTTTTTTTCCAATCCTTACTTTCCAGTCCTTTATTTTCTAGTACTGCATTTCAAATTCTTTGGAGTAGTTCTAAGATAGTCTGTCGCTGTAACCCCTCTCGAAATTGTAAAAGTGCAAAGGTACAATTTTAAACTTTTGTCTACTTAATGAAATTTGATTTCTAACACTGTTCTTTTCTCTTTCTTTTACTTTGATTATTCTTGGGTAAATTACACTGACCTCCCCTGAGGTTTTTGATAAATAAAAGGACCTCCCCTATAATTTCAACAATTATAGTAACATCCCCTACTTTACCTAACATTCTCTAGATCCCTCAATTCCGTTAGATTGGAACAAACGGTGTTACTTGCATAGAATAAATGACCTTATTACCCTTTTTTTTGAGCACAAAAAGACGATACTATCCTTGTCCTTATTCCTCCGTTGACCCACAAAATGACTTTTTTTTTAAATATTAAAAAATGTTTAAGAAAATTTTATTTATTTTTTATTTTATATATATAATTTTTATACAATTCTTTTATTACCAGATCTCCAACCTTACTCTTTCTCCTTTTCTTTACACCCAAAACCAAAAAGACCCTAACCCTAGTAATTTCTTTCTCTGTCTCATCGCACAGACAAGCCTCTTCGACTTCGCATCCAAATCCAATGACCTGGTAATTTCTTCTCTCTCTCTCTCTCTCTCTATATATATATATATATATATATATAAGTATTTGTATATCGTTTTGATTATGATGATGAGGGTTTTGTGATCTTTATATACAACTCTGTTTCAGTCTCTTTTGTTTGAAGCGTGTGGAAGGACTGTGAATCCAGTGAACGGAGCTGTCAGACTGTTATGGATGGAGAACTGGCACGTGTGCCAGGCAGCGGTGAGACGGTGCTCTGAAATAGAGCATTACGGCTGATTTTCTACAGATAAGAGAGAATTAGAGAGAGAGAGAGAGAGAGAGAGAAAAGACTTGCAGATCGTTTTCATAACCCATTGGTATGCAATAGGTGCAGTAAGAAAGAGAAGCTCTAGATTTATATATATGTAGTGAGAAAAGGAGAAGGAAAAATAGGAAAGGTGGTGGAGTAGTGGTGGAGTGGCAACGCTGCTAGTGGGTTGGTGGAGGTGATGGGGAGAACTAGGGTTAGGGTTTTTTTTGAGGTTTTGGGTGTAAAGAGAAGGAGAAGTAGAAATGTTAGAGATGGGGATAATAAATGAATTGTATAAATTAAAAAATATAAAATAAAAAAATAAAATTTGAGGGTGTAAGAAGTTAGATTGGTGGTGTAAATAGAATCACTCTTCTAGAAAATGCAGGGAGCAATTTTCAAATGAAAATACCCTTATTCAATTTTAGCGCTAAACGATACACATTGTTTCAGTATTCAACGCCTTTTACTTTTGAAAAATTTTAAAACTTTAAAATTCTATAACTTTTGATTTAGATATCCATTTTTGATAAAATTTATATTTTTAAAATGTTCTCATTGAGATCTATCAAATAAAATTTCATGTGTTGTATTTTTTTAAAATATTTTATTTTATAAATATATTTTAAATATTTTAATTTTTTTGTTATGTGCTTGGTTACAATTTGAGTGCAAAGTTTTGAAAGTAGTATGGAATTTCGAGTTATGTGTTTGGTTATGAGGTTTGAAAATAATTTTTGAATTGAGTTTTAAGTTATGTGTTTGGTTACGACTTAAGTATAGAGTTATATTTTAAGTTTGAAATATTAAAATTAAAATATTTATAAAATAAAATAAAATATTTAAATAAAAATTATATATTTAAAATAAAAAAATAAATCTAAAAACACTGTTTGTTTCAAACACTGTTTCCTTCTTATAGTAAGGCCATTTTCTTCTAAACCTGTCCTCCAATCCAAAAATATTTTTTAATATTTTAAAAAGAAGGGCAATAATGTCATTTACTTTAGGAAAATAACACCATTTGTTCCAATTTGATAGAATGGGGGAATCTGGAGAATGTTAGGCAAAGTAAGGGAGGTTACTGTAATTATTGAAACCATAGGGAAGGTCTTGTATTTGTCAGAAATCTCAGGGGAGGTCAATGTAATTTACCCATTATTTTTCTTAATTTTTTCCTAAAAATCAAACCATCAGTAAAAGTCCTATTCACTGAGATTAAAAGGAATTTCGAAAAAATCATCTGACTAAATGGTTGACATTTATCAATCTTTGTAAGGGCTTATTGATCCTTACCGGTACGCTTGAATTATATTTTTAACTTTCAAAAGCTAAAAAAACTAACATTTATTTTTGGTACGCTCAATGGGATCTCGTTTTAATGGTTAAATGAAGACGATAATGAGAAAATGAGGGCCTTGAAGAAGGCATAAAAGAAGAAATGTCAAACGAATTGGATTTTGCCATTCAAATATATCAATATGAAATATATTGGCGTAAAAGAAAAATTTTGGATCTTTAAGAAATGATCTGTTTTCTTGATGAGGAAAATTTTCAAGTTGTTACTTCATTATCATACTATTTGGTAGAAGAAAAAATACACCATTTAATTGGAGTAATTTATCAACTTGATATGAAAATTTGCCAATGGAGACATGAGTTATCAACCCTTCCTGTCAAGTCTTTAATGACTGAATTTTGTGGGGTTTTACGAAATGCTTTCAAGTTTTTTATGATTGAAATTGGTGAAAAGATAACTTCATAACTGGCTTGGGGAGTCCAAGGGCCCGTTTTTAAAGAGTCAAATTATAAAATTAACATAATGAAAGAGCATGTTTTTGAGTCAAACATGGCTAAGAATGATATTCCATATATGGCTCGGGGGGTTCATACATCCATTTGTAGAGAGTGAAGTCATGAAAAGCTTGTTAGGGAGCATGTTTTTACACAAAGTTTGGTTAAAAATGATAAGCAA